CAAACCTGTCTTCAGTCAAGAGAAAATCAAAGTACTATTGACTGATTTTCTGAAATAAATATATTTAATCACATGCTGTGAACCGTCATAATAATAATTACCTAATTCCTTCTTATTCTTGTTCAATTACTAATGTTTAGGATAATATTTTTAATTAAGCAAGACCACAAAAAGAAAGCCCTTGACAGGTATTTGGCCTCTGTCGGCTCCTCCACTCTGAATTTAATTATCTGTCCTTGTCTCACTTATCATCTTATGTACACGTAAAAATAAATAAATATATTCATGTGTATATTTTCATAATTTGTTTTTTTCAATTATATGCTTTTATTGTGCTTATCTCTTTTATGAGTGGAAATAACTTGAAACTGGAAATATAAATATGTTTATGGCTATGAAGCAATGTTTAATGGAAAGAACAAGTAATAAGTATTCCAACTGATAATAATAATAATAATAATAATAATTTTGCAATATAGCTGCTTTGATGGAACTTCGCTGTCGTGTAAAAAAGATGAAACTAAATCATTCCACTGTATGTTTAATACATGTAGAGGTGGAGACCATCACATGATGACCTTGTAAACATGTAACTCCATCGTCTTTCAAAGTAGGCCTTGTACACAAGGTGAAATGAAAAATACTTGTTTTTCTATTCTGTTTTGGATACAGTCATGTACATCTATTTGGGTAGGGTACCATCCCTGTATAATTATTTCATTCTCTAACTCAAGTTCTTGGAGAAATGACATTCGTATAGTGTTGAGAAAGAATAAGATGTTTACGTCAATGGTCAGGAGACTTTATTGTGGTATCCCATGGACAATATTGTTGGCCAAGATTGAACAGTACAGTTTCTGTATAATATGTTGATGAATATTATAAAAATAAACAAATTATAATTGAGAGAAGCCAAAGAGGAGCACTATTGTACATGACCGGGTAATCCCGAACTCCTAAAGCTTACAAAGTTTTTTTTTAAATAAATGGATCAACGTTAACCTAAGCTCAACGAAAACGCAATAACTCAGTGTATAGTATTTCCTTAAGTTCCTTAAGATTCAATTTGATTTAATTCAATTCTCATTCATTTCATTCTTTTCATTCTCGATTTTTTTTAAAAGAAAATAAATAAAGTTAAGTTCTAATCAAACGAGTAAATTGTCTTTTAAAGGAAAACTGAATTTATATGTTACGTGAATATTTATTTTGGATACATGTAAACACTATAAGGAATGAAATAAGTATTCATATAATTATGTTAGGAAGACGAATAACGGTAATTCATATCAAATTCAAAACAGTTGTGTTGACACTGTTAATGATACTGCCTAGAAGCAAATGGCGAAAGTTCAGTTTGTAAAACATAAGTCTTCATGAATACTGTGAGGTTTGAATTATCATAATAAAAAAGGATTTGACTAACAGACTACAAACTTTATCCAATCCTTATGCATTGTTTATGGTCTGATGTTACGTTTATAAAAATAAAAGGAATGAATAAAACAAATTGTAAATGGCAGTGGTGATGTTGACGATGATTATAGTGATGTATTATAATTAATTACCTATACTTCTGATGTGGACGGAGGCAAATGACGATGATGATGAAGACGATGACAATGATGAAGATGATGATGATGATGATGATAACGATGATGACGATGATGATAGTGATGTATTATAGTTAATTACCTATACTTCTGATGTGAACGGAGGCGAATGACGATGATGAAGATGAAGATGATGATGATGATGATGATGATGATGATAATGATGATAACGATGATGATGATAAAGATAGAAACATTGATAGTGATGACGACAGTGGTACTATTGCAACGTTTTATTTAATATAATAATTACGTAAATGATGATATTGGAGATAAAATTTATATTGCCGACACGAACGATGGGCAGGATGATGATGATGTGGATAATGTTGATGACAGTGATACCGTGACAATTTTCTTATTTTATAATGATGACTTTGATTTATTTATTTATTCAAGTTTTATTTAAAATAGAGGGTAGGTACATTCAGTTTAACAAAACTGCTTTCCAAGTACGCCCTCTAACATAACAAATGTGCGATATACAAAAATACAAGGATTATATACAAAATATAACATTCATCAAAACTAAACATTGACATAATTATTTGACATAATATAGAGTACAAACATATATAACATAAGAAAAATAATTATACTGGTAGAGGGAAATAAGAACGGAGATTCGACTATAATAAATGCTTTGCCAATTGGCATCCGCGCTTAAATATTTGAATTGATTTGGTTGATTGGATTGAGGAAGGAAGTTTATTAAATAGGGTGCTTGCTTTATATGAGCATGATCTTTTTTTGAAATCGGTTTTGGGGTATGGGATGTCAAGTAGAGCATTTAAGGAATAGCGGGTACAGTAGTTGAAGGTGCTATAATTTATAAGTGATTTTAAATAAGTTGGGGCCATGACATTTATAATTTTAAAAGCTAATAAACAGTAGTGATATTTTAATCTTTGTTCGACCGATTGCCAATTTAAAGTCGTAAGAAGTGTACATTGTGGTGTGTCGTAATCCTTATTTAAAATCAATCTCGCAAATCTATTTTGTAACTTTTGCAGTTTCGATAAATTTGTCTTTGAGCAGTTTCCCCAAGCAGTACAACAATAGTAGATATGTGGTAAAATTAATGCAAAATAGAGGTTTACAAGAGTTTTATGGGGTATTAGGCGTTTTATACGACGAATACATCCAATAGAACGAGAAATCTTAGTACTTATATATTTTATATGTTCAGACCACATAAGTTGTGAATCAAGTATAACTCCTAGGTATTTCATTGTTTCGACACACTGTAAATTTGTACCATTTAATTTCATTGAGAGACGATTGTTCTCCAACTTTCTTTTTGATCCAAATGACATCACCATAGTTTTCTGAGGGTGTATATACATCTTATTTATATCAAACCATTTACATATTAAATCAAAGTCATTCTGTAAATTTTCTTGAACTTCAGAAAAAACATTAGAATTATTAAAAATGACAGTATCGTCAGCATAAAGTGATATTTTGGAATTATTATAAAATGTTAAATTATTGATATCATTAATATACAAACAAAAAATCAAGGGGCCCAGAATTGACCCTTGTGGCACCCCGGATTTAACAGTTAAATACTCGCTACAATGATTATCTATAGTAACACATTGTTGTCTACCAATTAAGTAAGATTTAAACCATTCACACACCTTGTTACTCATGCCATAAAAAATTAGTTTATCAAGTATTATTTTATGTGGAATAACGTCAAACGCTTTCCTAAGATCGTAAAATATTGTTCCAGTAATCTGACCTGAGTTCATATTATCAAGAAGGTAATCAGTAATTTCTGTGAGACATGTGGTTATGGAATGAAGCGGTCTAAATCCAGACTGACGTTCTGATAATAGATTATTTTGGTTAAGGTAAGAATACAATTGTTTATGTACGGCTTTCTCTAGAATTTTTGACAAAGAGGGCAGTATTGAAATGGGCCTGAAATTATCCACACTAAACGTTCCTCCTTTGTGTATCGGAGTGATTTTTGCAATCTTGAAATCGAATGGAAATCGTGAAGTTTTTAATGATTGGTTAAATAATATGGTCAGTGGTTTTGCAATGATATCTGCAGATAATTTGAGTAACTTGGGATGTAGACCATCCATTCCTAAAGCCTTTTTACAATCAATATTGCGTAGTTCATTTCTAACAAATTCTGATTTGATTTCTTGAAATTCGAAAGAAAAATTGGTTTGAGATAACGTTGTAAAGAATTGAAATTATCATCTACAATGCTAGAACATGTACCAGTTTGTAGATTTGAACTCACATTATTAAAAGTTTCATTCAATAAACTTGCCACCTTTAATTTGTCAGTTATTATTTCATCATCAATTAGGATTGTGTTGCTTACCTCCTTTTGCCTTGAAGCCAAGAGTTTTTTTAAAACCTTCCAATTTTTGCTCAAATCATTTCCGCATTCTGAGAACTCATTTTTATAATATGCTCTTTCAAGATTTTTGTTTAGGTTATTTGCTTTGTTTCTATAAAACTTGAACTTTTCCCAGCAACAATCACATTTTGTCTTTTTATACCTTTTCTTATAGTAATCACGGTCACGTGCCAAAGTAATATATTCGTCTGTAATCCAAGGCACTCCATTACGTTTTCTTCTGACAGAAATAAAAGGTGCATGTTTATCACTTAGTATTGTGAACACCGATTTGATATTAGACCACATTTTATCAACTCCAACATTTTCTTCATTAAACTCAGCCCAATTTTGATTTCTCAAGTCCTCTTGAAATTCATTTTCGTTAAAGTTCCTAAAATATCTAAATTTACATATTTTCGAATGAAGCATTGGATTTTTGCCTTTTACGACTAAAAATATTAAACAGTGGTCACTAAAACCAATGGGCATTACACCGGACCTCAAGTTAGCAATAGAATTCGAGGTAAGTATTAAATCAATGAGTGTACTACTATGAGGTGTAACTCGTGTAGGCTCATTAATTAATTGATTAAGCTGACAAATACGACAAATATCCTTAACATTTTTAGACAATGTATTATCATTTCTCATATTACAGTTGAAATCACCTAGCAAAACAATATTATTTGACAATGACATTACTTTCTCAATATTCCCTTCAAGGACGGTAAAAATGTACCTGGGCAGGAAGGTTTCCTGTATAAAATACCAACAAAAATCGAACTACTACTGTTATATATGGATGACGTCATACGATGACCCACAATTGTAAAGCTGCGCATGCGCCTTGCGCAATAAACTTGCTTTGGAATCTTATACCATGAGTATCAAACGTGTGCTATTATCTGTCTTGAGTATTCATCTGTGTACCTTAAGTAAGAGTACATAACAGCTATTTTGGCGACGAGGATAAACTTTGTGTTTTATTCTACTTTTTGGTAAAGCTTTGATACCCAGGAATGGCTACTTTCGGAACAATTGGTGAATTTCGGGAGGACGAAGGGAGTTGGTCCCAGTACATTGAACGTATGGGGCACTACTTCGACGCCAACAGCATCGTGGATGGGGGACGAAAAAGATCCATCTTACTAAGTGTATGTGGAGCTTCAACCTACAAGTTGATGTCAAGTTTGACAGCACCAAGAAAGCCGGGGGAAGTTGACTTCCAAGAACTTGTTAAATTAATGACTGACCATCGGGATCCAAAGCCCTCGGTGATTGTTCAAAGGTTCAAGTTCAACAGTCGTGCTAGAAAGCCGGAGGAATCAATTTCGACTTATATTGCAGAGCTGCGACGAGTAGCAATCGAATGTAAGTTTGACACCATTTTGGATGAAATGTTGAGAGATAGAATTGTGTGCGGGGTGGCGGATGATCGTATACAGAGACGATTATTGGCAGAGCCGACATTAACATTCGAGAAGGCAAAAGACATCGCCTTGGCAATGGAGTTGGCAGATAAAAATACGGCGGATCTACGAGAACAAAATCAGAGAAGCGACATGGTAAACAAAATCGATTTTGCTGGTGGCCGTCGTATGCCAACGCAACGCCAGTTTTCAGAGAAACATTCTAGGTGTGGTCGATGCGGTGAAGGACCCCACAAACAAGGCGCGGACTGTCCGGCGATAGATCGAGACTGTTTCCATTGCGGCAAAAAGGGTCACTACGTAGCGGTTTGCAAAGCCAGGGAAACGAAAAAGGACAAAAGAAAAGTCACTCATCAGCAGCGGAAACAGGCCAGTTCCAACAAGTCCCGCACCTATCAAATAGCAGAGGAAGAAGAGGAGGAGGAGGAAAGCGAAACATACGGGTTGTTTCAACATTCCGTGAATAAAGCAAAACCTCCGCCGTACATGACGAAACTTTCTGTGAAAGGAAAGGAAGTTAACTTTCAAGTAGATACTGGCTCAGCGGTTACCATAATAAACGAAGAAACATGGCTCTCACACTGGAGTGAGAAGGACAGACCCATTCTCAATGACTCAACAACCCGCCTACGCACTTACACCAAACATTTAGTCGATATTGTTGGGGAATGTGAAGTCACCGTTTGCTATGAAAACCAGACGGTACGCGTGTGTCTAATCGTGGCGAGAGGGGGTGGGCCAAACCTCATGGGACGAGATTGGCTAGACGTCATTAGGTTGAACTGGAGAGAAATCTACTTGGTCAAAGTCGAAAATGACGTCTCGAGTTTGATCGCAGACTACAAGTAGTTGTTCGCACCAGAACTCGGGAAGTTGAAAGGTGTGGAAGTTGACCTGGATATCGACGAAGGAGCTTCACCGAGATTCCTAAAGGCCCGACCAGTGCCGTTCGCACTGCGAAATAGGCTGGATGAGGAACTGGATCGCCTACTAGCGAATGACATCATAGAACCAGTTCAATATTCGAACTGGGCGGCTCCAATAGTTCCTATAGTAAAAGGAGACGGATCAATCAGGGTTTGTGGCGACTACAAAACAACCATAAATTCAGCCGCTCGTTCCGACACCTATCCTATACCTCGAGTAGAGGAGCTGTTTGCAAGGCTCGCAAACGGAAAGCAATTCTCAAAACTGGACCTCTCACACGCATATCAACAATTGGTCCTGTCGGAGAAATCGAGGGAGTTGGTGACCATCAATACCCACAGAGGACTTTTCCGCTATAAGCGACTGCCATTTGGCGTATCGACAGCGCCCTCAGTGTTCCAGCGGACTATGGAATCGTTGCTGGCTGGCATTCCAGGCGTGGCAGTTTACTTAGATGACCTGCTCATCACAGGAGAGTCAACGGAAGAACACATAAAGAACCTAAAGCGGGTATTGGACGTTCTTCACGAAGCAGGGTTACGCTTGAAGAAGGAGAAATGTGCGTTTCTCAAGGACGAGGTTGATTACCTCGGCCATACTATCACGGCGAAGGGTCTACATCCGACGGGGGACAAGGTGGAAGCAATCACCAAGGCACCAGAGCCAACAAACGTGAAAGAGCTCAGGTCTTTCCTCGGGTTGCTGAATTATTACGGGAAATTTATGCATGACCTCGCTTCTACATTGGAGCCTCTACATCGATTGTTGAGAAAGGAGACAAAATGGCAGTGGGGCAAGGAGCAAGGAGATGCGTTCGCGAGAGCCAAAAAGCTACTCCAATCAACGAGGGTATTGACCCATTACGATCCGAAAGAACAGCTGATACTAGCTTGCGACGCTAGTCCGTACGGCGTCGGAGCTGTTCTCGCACATAAGTTTTCGGATGGATCCGAAAAACCGATCGGATTCGCGTCGCGAACCCTAAACTCAGCGGAGCGCCGATATTCGCAACTAGATAAAGAAGGATTAGCAGTAGTTTGCGGCGTGAAGCGGTTCCACCAGTACCTATATGGTCGGAAGTTTGACATAATAACCGACCATAAGCCGCTACTTGGACTCTTCGGTGAAAAGAAAGCTATTCCGCAGATGGCTTCTCCGCGCGTCCAACGGTGGGCGATTACGTTAGCAGCATACGAATATCGCATAACGTACAAGGCGGGAGAAGAAAATGCTAACGCGGATGCACTCAGCAGACTACCTCAAGAGTCAACAATCGGGGATCCTCCCGTCCCAGGAGATATCGTTCTACTGATGGACATCCTCGAGAAAACACCTATCACGCCCTCACGCGTCCGTATAATGACCGATAAAGATCCAGTCTTATCACGCGTTCGAAATTTCGTCATGCATGGATGGGTTTCTTCGCATGAATTGAAAGACGAAGCGTTCGGACCGTATCTGAATCGTAAAGATGAGTTGAGTGTACATGAAGGAGTACTGTTATGGGGAGCTCGCGTGGTGCTGCCCCCAAAATGCCGGGATCAGATGATGGAGGAGCTACATGATGCTCACCCCGGAATAGTCCGAATGAAAACAAGTGCGCGAGGTTGCGTATGGTGGCCGCAAATTGACAAAGATTTGGAGCGAAAAGTGAAATCTTGTGAAAAATGTCAAGCACACCAACGACAACCATCGAAAGCACCGCTACATCAATGGGAATATCCCAGCAAGCCGTGGTCGCGAATTCATGTAGATTACGCAGGCCCGGTAGAAGGTAAAATGCTTCTCGTAGTAATTCGTCCTTGTTTTCACGAAGTGACGGTAGCGAGGAAAATCGTAACGCAAAGTGAATGCAATTTTTTTTCACTACCGTCACTTCGTGAAAACAGCGACGAATTGATGCGTATTCGAAGTGGATGGATGTTCACATCACTACGAAATCGACAAGCGAAGCGACAATAGAGAAATTAAGAGAAGTTTTCGCAACACATGGCCTACCCAACACGCTGGTTTCCGATAATGGGCCCTGTTTCACCAGTGATGAATTCGCCAAATTCATGAAGATGAACGCAATAAATCACATCAGAGGAGCGCCATACCACCCAGCTACAAATGGGCTCGCGGAGAGAGCCGTGCAAACTGTGAAAGGAGCCCTCCGAAAAATGAGTGGTCCCCTTCACACTAGGTTATCGCGGTTCCTGTTAAGTTACCGTACAACACCGCAAGCTACTACAAAGCAATCACCGGCAGAGTTGCTAATGAATCGTAAACTGCGTACTCGCATTACGTCAGTTCTGCCAGATGTGAACGCAACCGTAGAGAAAAAGCAGTTCGCCCAAAAGATCGCTCACACTACTCACGCCCTTCGCGAATTCAATGTAGACGACGACGTCCTTGTGAGAAATTATGCTCGAGGCAACCAATGGTTACCCGGTAAAATAACCGACCGTACCGGTCCAGTATCATATGTGGTCAATGTCAGTGTCGACGGTGCGACACTAAAATGGATGCGTCATGTTGACCAACTCCGAAGTCGAGTTTCCTCATCGACCGCGCGGAAACAAGACTACGCGAACGAAGGTGTTGTCCCTACACTCGATGAAGATGATGTTATCAATTCTGATAACGATAATAATGATCGCGAAGATTATCACGAAGATCAAGTAGACATCCGCGAAGCTCGCGAAGACGACTTCGACGAAAACCGCGACGTCAATCGCGATGCCGGTAGAAAGGATTACCCTAGACGAGAGCGAAGAAAACCAAATTACTATGGATTTGAATAATTTTGGACTGATGCAAACTGCTAATCAGGTTTTAATTCTAAGCAATAAAACCATATCTCACTTGTTTCATATATTTGAAATAATAGTCAATAAAAGGAATTGATGCCTTTACTCATTTGGTTAATTTTTAAGTTTATAGAAATTATTTAATATAAAGTTAATGTACAAGCAAAAGTATACTCAACTTGTTGAAAAAGTGGATTTGCAAACTGTTTATTTGTTTAATCATAGTTTGGATTACCTAACATTTCATACCTACGATATTTGTTGTTTTTACAATTACTGTTTTATAATTTTAAGAAGGGGCTTTAAAACTAAGGGGGGGAGAGATGTTATATCGTCCTTGTTTTCACGAAGTGACGGTAGTGAGGAAAATCGTAACGCAAAGTGAATGCAATTTTTTTTCACTACCGTCACTTCGTGAAAACAGCGACGATATATGGATGACGTCATACGATGACCCACAATTGTAAAGCTGCGCATGCGCCTTGCGCAATAAACTTGCTTTGGAATCTTATACCATGAGTATCAAACGTGTGCTATTATCTGTCTTGAGTATTCATCTGTGTACCTTAAGTAAGAGTACATAACAACTACTTGTTCTTTTGATTTCTAGCCACATGAGTTCTAGCTCCTTTGTTTCAAGATCTGTTCTTCTTAAGTAATTACATTTCTCGTTAATGTAACATCCTACACCACCACCGCCAGTGGCATCCCTGTCATTTCTTTCAATTTTGTAACCATCGATAGAAATCATATGATTTGAAAAATCCTCATTCAACCATGTTTCGGATAGTCCTAAAATGTCTATGGGGTTTGACATTAGAAATTGTTTTACATCTGTAACTTTATTTCTTAAACTTCTTATGTTAAGGTGTGCTAATTTAATGCCCTTTTTCTTTGGAAAATCACAAAGTATACTGTATCTATTATCTTCATTCGAAGTAGAATCATGTATAATATTCGCAAGATGAGAATATCTAAGATAAGTTTCTACGGGAGAGATATCTTCTTGTTCCCGAAAGGGAAAATGTTTCAGAGTACATACAGTACATTGCCAATTTTCAAAAGATTAATTCGTATCATCGTATTTGCATTTAGAAATTCCTTCACATACTATATGTGCCCATTTTGTACACGAAGTACATAACAGGGCCTTTTGGTTTTTCCTTACTGCTTTATTACATTTACTGCATGGATATTTAACCATAAAAAAGAGTCGGTACAAATTTATTCATAAAATTGATTGAAAAAGAAAAAGAAAAAAATATATATCAAAGTGTTCTCAAGTCCTCAAAGTCTCTGATTCCCTTAGTCACTGTCTTCCCACCGGTGGCAGGAAGGAGTGCGACGACATGTCCATCCGATGTCCATGTTTTGAGAACTTTGCTATGATTCCTCGTTTCATAAAGCAAACGCTGGTTGTGTTTAGTGAGGTCTTCATGGATCGATATACCAGTGTCTTTCATCTTGCGTCGTTGTACTAACACCGATTTCCTAGCTTGGTACGACACAAACTTGACAATTATTGGACGGGATCGCTTTTTGCGCATTTTCTTGTCGTTGTCATGACTACTGGGTTTCGCGTTCCCGGTATCGTGGGAGGTTTCTTGGTCACGGACCGATGCTTGGTCTTTGATTGGGACTCCTACTCGGTGAGATCTGTCAATTGCGCTAGGATGAAGCTGAATTCCAATTCCTCTGCGATCTTGCACACAATAGCCGTAGTATCTTCGTTCTTATTCTCAGGAACGCCGAAAAAGCGAACACGATTCCTTCGCGAGTATTGTTCTTGATCGTTGCAGGTCCGCATCAGGGCACTGATCTGTGATGATTTTTGTTCAGCTTTCAGAGTGAGGTGATTGATCTTTAAGTCTTTATCAACAATGGATGACTCAAGCTCAAGCAAACGACCTTCTAGCTTTTCAATTGTGTCTAGGAGGGATACAAATTCCTTTTGACAAGAGCTTTTGACGATGTCATTTATAGCTTTTAGGAAGACATTGTTGGAGGTAATCATCCCCACCAAATCATCATTAGTCCTTTCAGAATCAGTTGGCGCCAAAATTGCACTGGTCGCCGCCATCTTGGAAATGTATGATATCAATTCAAAATGTAGGCAAGATAAGAATAATAATGCACATGTGAATTAGTCGTACCTTATCTGCGTCCATTTGCTGAAGACCTCTTAGTGGTTCAATCTGTGCTGTATTAAAGTTGTGGTGTTTAATCCGCAAATAAACAACAATATTTCGATCTAATCCAGTAATGATAACGGTGAATCACACGATGAATGCAAGATCAAATTAGAGCAAAACAAACCACTTTGCAATCCAGGAAAATGATCGTCAGAAATATTCGAAGACACAGGTATTCCAAATGTAACAGCACAGTACAAAATCAAAAATGAATCCTAAATAGTGCATATAACTGGCAAGTATAATCAAAAGACAGAGCTCCGTCAAGACACGTCCGCTCGTTTAAAAGTTTATGCGCACTTTTATTATTATCTCAAATCCTACGATTCTTTGCTAATGAGGTATAATCAGAGAATCATTTTATGGTCATATACACACACACACACATGATAATAATAATACAGAACTTATATACTGCGTTATAGCTTTGAAAAAGGCCCTCAACATGCTTTAATAGGAAAAACGACCTGAAACATAGGAAAAAGCTACAGGAAAATATATGAAATGCTGCCCAAGATGAATTTTTTTCTAAACCATGCAAGCTTGCCTCAAGGTTGTCAGTCACAAGCTTGAATTTTTTGACCTGCAAATATTTATTTATTTATTTATTTATTTATTTATTATTTTGATGTGAAATGTGAAAATAATTGTGATACTGATGATGATGCTGATTGCAATAATGATGAGGATGATGATGATGATAATGATGAATATGATAATGATGATGATGATGATGATGATGATGTTGGTAGTTGTGATGGATGAGGAAGTTTATGCTGCTGATGATGATAATAATAATATATTGTAAATACACATTAAATTTATGAAGATGTCAACATCATCATCGTCAGCAGCATCATCATCATCTACAAGATCATCATCATCATCACAAATAAGTATCACCATCAGCGTCATTTTCACATTTTACATCATCATCGATGTCACAATTCGATAGGTTACAAAGCAGACAATCTCAGACTCAGACTCATGTCGAAATTTTGTTTAAGTTGGCGCTCTTCAAAGTTGTACGGTACGATGAGATCTATGCTATTTTGTCCCGTACGTAAACCACCAAAATCTACCAAAGTCGATTGCTCTAATTGAGCTTAGATCATGAAACTACTTGAAACTACTTGAAACTATAATAATCAATTGCTCTGGCGAGCACCAGAGTAATCTATACACATAGTTTGGCAGACCCGGCTCGAGTTTGACACAAGATGGCCACTACTGCTTTGTTGGACAAGCACAAAACAAAAGAATATACGCCATGTTGTGACCCAGTGAAACAAAGTTGGCAAAACTTTGTGTATAGATGGCTCTGGCAAGCCCACTCTCTACGCCCATCGCATTCTCTTGATAATAAAAACAAATCGAATTCGCGAATACCCCTAAAATAAACCCCTTTTCGTGAAATTTCTAGCTCTTTCAAACAAAGAGCACCTTTTTTTTCCAAAGTGACCCCGTAATTCAAACTTTAAAATGTACATTATGACAGGAATGAACACTTGATACAAGCTATATGTATTTTATTGTATTTCTATTTTGCTGCTTTGTTTTATTAAAAAAATCATAGCCAATCTGAAAGACCGTGAAACACGGTGCCTAATCCGAAATGACAAGCGCGTCGGTTTGGAACCAGGGACCTGGAACCTTCTGGGTACGAGACTTTACTTCTGAACCATAGCACTGTTTTTTTTTCCATCGAATAACCCCAGTAATATGAAATATGAAAATTAAATATATATATATATATATATGCCTTGGTCGAAATAGAAAATATCATACATGGATTTATTTACACCAAGGGATTTCGTTCCCCCCCCCCCTCCGACCATCATACCCACATTGTGTCCCTCCCCCTTCAAAATAAGTGGACCCACCCTAAAAGCAATATATTTTTCTTCGATCACATGACAAGATAATCAGTAAGAAACATGGTCAGAATACAGCGCCCGAGACACTTCCAGCGCGAAAAAGCTGTTCTCGGCGAATCTATATAGATTCACGTTACGGCCGTATATATGAACCCAAATCCATTGCATGGAAATAAATTGACGGAAATAAATTCGCGAAGCGCGGAAGCTTTCACATTTCATTAAATTATTACTCTTAATCCTTGTCTGAATTCATTTTCGCCCATCTCGCGCGAAGGGCGGAAACTCTGACGTTTCATTAAAATATTACTCTTAATCCTTGTCTGAATTCATTTTCGCCCATCTCGCGCGAAGGGCGAAATCTTTGACGTTTCAATGAAATATTACTCTTAGTCCTTGTCTGAATTCATTTTCGCCCATCCAGCGCGAAGCGCGGAAGCTATCACGATTCATTAAATTATTAGTGAAAGAAGACAATTCGTTGTATCGTGTTCTTGTCTGAATTCAGTCCCCTCCCCCCCCCCCCCCCTCTTTGACACTTCATAAAATTATTAAAGAAGGAAGACGATTCGTTGTACCGTTCTCGACTCTTAATCCTAGTCTGAATTCAATTACCCCCCCCCCCCCCCCGAAGCGCGGAAGCTTTACCGTTTCATTAAATTATTAGAGAAAGAAGACGATTCATTGTACCGTTTACTACTCTTAGTGAACGGTAAGTGGTAACTCTTAGTGAACGCCCCCCCCCCCCCCCACCAGTACGCCAGTGATGGCGACTACTGCTTTGTTTGGCAAGCACAAAATAAAAGAATATATGCCATGTTGTGACCCAGTGAACCCAAGTTGGCCAAACTCTGTATATTGATGGCTCTTACAGGCACTGTTTATAAGACGCCCTATTTCCTCGTACATCTCGATTACTTGCTTT